ATCACTTTTGCTGCCACTTTTAAGAATAGGGGTAATTGAAGTCAATTTCAATTCATCATAAAAAATACCGGAGGCTAGAGACCTATTGAAAATAATTTTTGAAGGAGAGATCAAAGCAGGACACTTCATAAAGTTTGAAGAGAGCCCATCAATATCTTACGAAAGTTTAAGGGAGCCAAAACTAGTAGAATTCACACTAGCAGAGAAACTAGAATCCACAGTAGCGACATTAGCACTAAAAAATGCAGCAAATAGATTTGCAACGTCAGCTGGAGTGGAGGCACATTTATCTTCAAAAAAATACAGCTGAGGGAATACTAGAGTTGTTCTTCTTAGACTTAATAAAATGCCAGAAGATTTCGGATCTTCTCTGATATTGGATTCAATACCTAAGATATAATTTCTGTAGAGGAATTTATTCAAGCAGTTAAACTTTTTAAGATGGACCTGATATTTCTCAAAGAAAAACTGACTTCCAGAGGCCTTAAACTTATTATAAAATTTGTTTCTAAGATTCTTAAGTTTTTTAAAGTCACGATTATACCACGGTAATTTATAGCGTCTTTTTCTAATTATTGGAATGAATTTAAAACAAAAATCAGAAATTACAGATTTGAAAGTAGCGAAGCATTTAGCTACATCGGGGCAAGAGAGTAAGCTTTCCCAATTTAATTCACCCAGTAATCTATTTAACTTGGGATAATCGCAGGCTGCATAATTAAACTTAGGTTTGTCACCAGCATTGAAAGACGGGAATACATAAAATTCAAATTTTAGTAGCAGAGGAACATGATGCATATTAGATGGAGTGATCGGATTGTGGCAAACTTCAATGTTACATTTAATGTTATCACTAATAAATATGAGGTCAAGAATTCTATCCAACTTGTTAACAAAATTATTGATTTGTAATAAATTAAGGCTTAAGAGGCTATCTATAAAGTACACTTCATGGGACGTATTGACATTAATTGGCGAGAGACCAGCATTGGAAAAAGATGTGGACCAAGATACATTACAAAGATTAAAATCGCCTAACACACAAAGGTGGTCATCTCCTAGCTTATTTAATTATTGTCGGCCGCTGTGGTGTAGTGGTAAGCAGTGCGCGCTTCCACTCCGCAACGCCTGGGTTCAAACCCTGGTCAAAGTAACATCGCAAAAAAATAGAAAAAAGTTTTTTCTTAACAGCGGTCGTCCCTCGGCAGGCAATGGCAAACCTCCGAGTGTATTTCTGCCATGAAAAACAGCTTCTCATAAAAATACAATCGCCGTTCGGAGTCGGCGTAAAACTGTAGGTCCCTCCGCTTTGTGTGACAACATTAAGGCGCACGCCACAAATCGGAGGAGAAGCTCGGCCAAACACTAACATATGTGTAAGCGCCAATCTATTATTATTATTATGTTGTCAGCATGCGCTTTATAAAGATTATAATTACTATTAGGCGGGGTATAAGAAACAATCAAAAACAGAGTCATAACTAGATGAGGCACTGATGCGAACACAAAGCTGATCCAAAAGGGAATCATCATTTTCAAGCGAGACAGAGATCGAATGAAATTTACGCTGAATAGCAATAAGAACTCCGCCGCCTTTCAGACAACCAGTCTTAGTTACATCTCTGTCCTTCCTAAAGACATTATAAATGTTTGAATCAAAAAATTCCTCATCATAGAAATCCGCATTTAGCCATGACTCAACAATAACAAAAACATCGAAATCCCTTTGCGAGCTAATAGAGCGTACCGCTGCTGATTTTGTTCGAAGGCTAGAAATATTCTGGAAATAAACCTTCAAAGAGCTATAATCATATATCTGCCCATTAACATTTAAATATGCATTACAACTTAACTTATTAATATCCAATACTACGGGATCAGGCGCATCCGAGGACAAATAAACTAGTTGGGATGAGTTTGTTTTGTCCCTCTGTGAAAAAAACGGAACGGCCGAACAGAAACATTAGCTGGCCACAACTCTGGATTAGATTTTCGCAATCGAACTCGCTGACGCCAAGCTTAAAATTGACATAGGATAAGGCATCCAGTCTCGACTCTTTTTTGACTAACCTGTAGCAGGTTAAGTGCCGCTTATCAATGCCAGCGTGTCTCACCACATAATCAACAATATTGTCACAGGAGACGGTTGACACGAAAGACGAAAGGTGCAACCACTTAAAGCGGGCAGCCACTCCAAGATCACTACAATCATTTGATCCCACCACGCGAGTTCGCTTTTGGATGTGATTTGTCCTTTTACTCTCAGCAGTAAGCCAAACAGGGCTGCGGGTAGGAAAAGGAGGATTAGGCACTTCCGCGGCCGTAGCATTAACAGCATCAGATTCAGCACTAACACCACCAGTTGGTATATGTTGTGAAACAGGTGGGAAACCAGCAGAAGAAATATTTTTCACAATTACAGGAGCGAGTAAATATGAATTAGCAGCAACAGAAACATTAGCAGTGCACGGTGTTGTTGGTTTCGTGGTGGTAGTAGTACCCGCAAGTAAATTGGCAGTGCAACCTGCGACAGTATTTGTGTCCATGAGGCCGTCAACATGACGTACAGTTTTAGAGCCACTAGAACTAGCAATCCCGCCAGAATCAACTTTGCGAGCGGGAGAGATGACGTTAACACTCTAAGCCGATGTGCGCTCAGACAAGACGCTTTTAAAGCCAAACGAATGAGGGGCAGCGGGAGCCACAACAGCACCAGGCGATGAACAGTAATTATTGTTGTTGTACGAAGCACTAGCACCAAACTCAGCAGCCAACAAACCCACATTAACAGCATTTAAATTGCTGTTGTTGGTGGAATGCAAAGATAAAATAAGATTTTTTAATGCATCAAGTTGATTAGAAAGATCTTTGAATTTAGCATCAAA